TATTTAAATTTGTGGTGCTTTTAGGAATGTCTGGGGCTTTTTAAATCAAGAGCGGCTTCATGGCAACTTAAACAATTATTCTTTTTAACATTGGCTGTTTATCTCCTCCTCCCCTCCCTGCCTCTCTCCAGCACTGCACCCGGGGACTAGCAGGGAGGGGAGAGACCTTGCAGTGTAATGAGCACTGATTGGGTGCTAGCACTGAAAGGGGAGTGTTGGGCTTATCCTTTTGCTGCCAGAGCGGTTTTTGTGGTTTTTTTTGCCCAAGTTTTAAAAATCATTTTAGGCTTTAAGATTACCTAAAATCCCCAATATTATATATTTTCTGAAAGCAGAGACCCTAGAGCATAGTAGTAGGTCCAATTTTTTATGTTGCACGATATTACTGCAAAATTTCAGTAAAAATTACACTTAAGTTAACTTTAGGGCAAAAAAAAGCAATAAATTATCCTATTTTTTTGTAAAATATAAAAGATGAGGTGTCACCGAGTAAATAGATATCCAACATGTCAAACCTTAAGTTTGCGTGTGCTCGTGAAATGGCGATGAACTTCAGTACCCTATATTTTCTGTAGGCGACACATTTAAAGCCCCTTATAGGTCATCAGTATAGTGTTATAGAGGATGTCTCATGTTAGAATTATTGCTCTCATTCTGTTGTGCACAGTGATATGTAACATGTACCGCAATTGACGTTTTCATGTGTAGGTGCCCCATTGTGTGCTTTTATGTTTGTACGTGTCTATATGTGGGGGGCTCAATTTTTTTTTTGAGGGGATATTATATGCTTGGTTGCAAATTAAATTTTTTACATTTTAAAAAAAAAACATTTTCGTACGGAATTTTTTTCATCACATATGGTACAAAAAGTCCCCATGTGATGATTTTTGGTGACAGGTTCTCTTTATTGAGACATCCAAGGTCTAAAAAACCCTGGATGCCTCCCCTGTGCTCCACTGAATGTAATGCAGTGCAGATCACACTGCATTACAGTCTTTCCCAGCCTTGATGGCTAGGAATCTGTCAATGGGGACCCAGGAGTGACATCATAAGGTCACTACCGGGTCAAGACAAGAAGGGGAGGGGAGCTGACGCGTTCTCTCTCATCCATCACCTCTACCCGACAGCGCAGGCTGAACTGGTCCCGGGACCGCAGATGGGCAAGAGGAGCCCGGGAGACATAGCGGATGGGGGGAGGTTCACGCAAAGGGGGGGGTGCTTTGGCTGTCACTGTAGGGTAAAAAAAAAATAACTGCCCGGAATGACATGTCCCGGGCATTGGGCGACATAATTCAACATTCCTGTAGGAGTGTTGTAGTGGCATTTAGAGGTTTTTTCCTTCCGGAACAACACTCCAAAAAACTCCACAAAAATATTTTTTTTTATTTAAATGCTGAAGCTTGAAAAACACTACTAGCCTACAATAGTATTTAATAATAGTAAACACTATTTAGCTTCTAGGAGCAGAAAAAAATGCTGATAACGGCTTCTAGAAGCTTAAAAAAATACTAGTGTACATGCAGCCTAATAGAAACTTAACACAAGGTCTAACCTTTTCCTTCTCCATCCAAAACTGAAATATTTTTTGCACTTTACTTTTAAATATTTAATACCATGTAAACTTTAGAACATTTTAACAGTCTTATGGGAAAATTATTGATTTACTTTAGTTTGGCAGGCCTCTTGCGACCCTTTTTATTTTAAACCTACTTTAAATTATTTCACTTTTAAAACATTATACAAACTTTAACGTGTACATTACAAACACTGAAAAAATATAAAAATACATTTGAAGGTGCGCATTTCTATTATACGTTCAGTAGAGTTAATACTTTCTTGATGTTTATAAAAACACTTCCGGGGCCCTGTACCTTAAACGTTCAACACAGAATCCATAAGTGCGCCTATTACACATCCAGGTTCGGGTGACAGTTCTACAATATCCTGACTGGCAAGTCTTCTGTAAGGAATGGTCTGAAGTAAGTCTGCTTGAACTAAGCAGAAAAATTGTTCGCATAGCCACCATTTATATGAATATGTAAAGGGTTAGTGCACCTTTTTTAATAAAACCTGTGCAGTAAACGGGCCCCCGTAGTTTACAAAGTAAGGTAGCAGTGTAAGGAAATTGAGGTTCCTTTAACTAAAATACCTGTAGGCAAACTACAGCCTCCACAAAGACCTAAAAAGTGGCATTCTGAGTGGCCAGTGTTGTCCTGTACATAAGCTAGAACACATGGTACATTGAGTCCTATCATTACAGGAATGAGTGGAACTGCTGTATTACTTGTCCACAAACAAACACACACACACGCACAGTGGGCTCTCCCTTTCCACTTCACAGCAGCCCTGGGGTGGAAAGAGTCCACTGAACATCTGCAGACGGGGTGTCAGGAATAGACTCAGCACTGGTGGTGGGACTCACCTGCCGTGTGGGCTGCAGTACCAGGGCTGACCAGCGGGTGCTCTCAGCAGCCAGAAGCTCACTCCTGTAGTCAGCCAACACCTGGGCTGATTGCAGGAGGTGTATTTAAGGAATGATCAGGCCTGTGATCAGGGCCTTGGTGTATGTTTCCCATGAGCCCCTGTACCTGGTATCCTGTGTTCCTGCCTCGTTGCTGACCCTGCTTTGATCCTGACCTCTGCTGACCGTCTCCTGTTGAACCCCTGGCTTGCCTGACCATCCTTCTGCCTGATCCTCGGTACCGCGCTGCCCGCTACCTGCTGAACCTGGCTTGTGACCCCGACCATTCTCTGCTTGCTCCTCCTGTACCACGCTGCCCGCACGATACTGACCCGGCCTGTCTGACTACGCTTACTTCACCCGACGATCCATCCATCCCACACAGATCACCTCTAGTAAGTCTGCCTGCCTCTTCCCATCAGACTCTGTTCCTGCACTCCCCTGCCAGTACTCTCTACCACAGCCGGATGCACTCAGGGGTCGTGACCTGGTTCCAGTCTGCACCAAGTCCATCCCCACCATCAGGGGCCCTGGTGAATAGCAGGCTGGGACTTAGACCCCGTGCCCTGAGGAAATCCGTGCTGTGGGCTCAGCCTGCCTGACCGCTCCACCTCTCCAGCCCTCACTGCACTGGTACCTATTAGTTTAAGGTTTATTGCACCTGGTTGTACATATTTATGTAAGTGTTGAGTTTGATTGTTTGCACTGCGTTTATGTTTGTGTTGTCTTTAATAAATTATATTATGTTACACGCTATACCTGAAGTCTGTGTTTCCCTGTGTCGGTCCACACACCTCTGGTCATACCTGGAGCCCTGACACGGGGAGAGAGCACTGCACATGTGTAGATTTGCAGACAAGAAATAAAACATCTCTACAGTCATTCCATTAAGGTTGGTGGTGTGCTCAACATACCATCCATCCTGGCTCTATTTAACTTTCTTGGCTAGGCTTTGTGGAAGCAGCAGTTGGCCTACAGCATGGGTCTCAAAACTGCGGCCCATGGGCCAAATGTGGCCCTTTGCTTGCCTTTATCTGGCCCTTGAGCGGATATTCTTTCCACTGACATAAATGATGGCACACTATTCCTTCCATTGACACTAAAGATGGGCACTATTCTTTCCACTGACACCAGAGATGATGAACTCATTCTCTCACTAACACCAATTATGGAGTATTATTCCTTTTTCTGATAACAAAGATAGGGCACAATTCCTCCCACTGACACCAATGACGTCATTTTTTTTTTTTTCCCATTGACCACCAATCCTATGGCATTTTTTTACTATTGGCTCCCTAAATTGGTAAACAGTCTGGCCCAGGAATGTAATTAAAGTCTCTAGATTGCACCAGAATATGTAAAATACTTGGGGTCCCTTGACTGCAAGTTTTATTATAAAGGTGAACTAACCCTTAAAGTATCTAGAGACACCTTTAAGGTTCTGAGTGCTGTAGGCCTTCCTCAGCAGGCGATTAGCAGCATACAGTAGACTCCAGCAGCAAGAATATGTGATTCTTACATCTGGGTTCAAAGGTGTATGCAAAGAGCTGAGGCCACTCAGCCTGTACAAAGCAATGACAAGCAGAGAGGAGCCATTGCTATTCACATGTATCCGTACATCGAGTGATGATCTGCCATTAGGGAGAGATCCAAGTAAAATAGATGCATATAACCAGGGGCTGACTGACCACTTGGAATCTCGGACACTGCCCGAGGGCCAGGGTCAGTAGGGGGCCCCATGAGATGCCCCTGGTACCTTTTTCATAGGCTTTTTTGAGTTTGGGCAAGGACACAGGGGCCCCATGAACCCCTATTACCTGGGGGCCCCATGAGTTGTCAGTCCACCCCTGCATATAACCCACCGTTAGTAACTCTGGAGCAATTTTAAGACTAGTGCATAATCATGAGATTGTCCTTAGAGATCCCCCACACTTCCATCCTCTGTAAAATCACAACAGTGGGTCTCGGTACTTCTGGTAGGTGTCCAATTCAGGAATCCAAGAAAACAAAACCCAGGGCACTCACTGCATGTCACTAGTCTTTATCTAATCATGGACTCCAAAGGCCTAAAACAAATAAAACATATCCAGCTGATGATCTTACGGTCCTGAAAAGGGTGCACTTTACATGGGAAATGTTCGTTGGCTGAATGGTGAAAAGTGAAATGCTGTGAGTGTCCTGGACATTCAAGTAGAAGGTCAGATACCAGGTGTGCAAGGCACATAGCAGCTTGTTTATTGCATACCCATCAGAGACAAAAAGGATCCAATAAACAAATACTGACATGTTTCTGCCTGGAACTCTTTTGTATTTTGTCCTGGATTTGTTTTTATTGCATTGCTGGGTAGGCCCACATGTCCAGCCCTGGATGTATCTGTCCGTGTCCAGGGTTGGACATCTGTCCATAACTGAAGGTACTTACTCAGCATGCGGATACATGTGAATAGCAATGGCTCCTCTCAGCCGGTCATTGCTTTGTACTGGCTAATAAACCATGTTAAGGAGGCCGTATTCCTGCTTTGATGGAGAGGTGAGGGCCTCACACAGCTCTGTCATCTGCCTCAGCTTTGTAGGCAAGAATCTGCATGGCCTCACCACATGCCTCCTCAACCCTGCGAACCTGTTCTCTGCTCATCCTCTCCCGCCAGGCACTCACAGCTTCCCTGGCATTGCGGGCAGATACCAGGAAGGGTCTATCTGAGGAGTAGCTGGGTCCTCTAGTCATGTTCATCGCAAAGTCATCTAGCTCAGGCACAGCTGGCAGCCCAGTGAAGTGCAGAAGGCGGCTGAGTTCCTTGCGAGGGGAGAGTACCAAATCCTCATAACGAACCTTGAGGTAGCGCTGGCGCAGCAAGGATGGGCCATGGCCCCTCACCAAGAGGAGATCCTGCAGCCAGCTCTGGCAGATCACCTCCAGGGAACCGCTCAACAGGAAGTCCGTTCCCCCGCGGTGCAGCTGCTGTTGTTGCTGCGCTCTGCTGGCTGGATCCCCTCCCCGCAACCGGCTCCGCAGCACCTGTAGACTTTCCCGTAACAAAGAGCGCTTGGAACGCAGTCGGGAATTCTGCATGGCTCGCGGGTCCCGAAAAAGCTGTACTATCCTCAGGTTGAGCCCAGGATCCTGCAGCAGCAGCGGTAGCAGAGCCGACACCTCCATCAGTCGCACGTCTTTAATCACCACCACTGGGTACCGGCGGCACTCCTTCTCCAAGTCCCGCAGTGGCCGAGCCGGACAACGCTGCTCGCAATCCTTAGGCTCAATCAGCCCCACCCTGTCCCGAGACCCTCCAGCGGTCGAAGCCGAGTTATACCCCGCGGAGCACATGGGGGCGCTGCAGATCACCTTGTTATTCTTCCAGCCAAAAAGCCCCGCGGTGGTGAGGTTATCCCCCGCGTAGAGACGCAGGGCGGAGAAATCGCAGCGGAACAGGGAGCGGAGCAAGTCCCGCAGCGCCCCTTGCAGGCTCTCCGCGTCTCCGGGGTACAGCGATTGCCACATGTGCCAGGCTGGTTCGTACAGGTAGAAGACCCCCGGGTGTTGATTGAAGAGCTCACCCAGGAAGGACGAGCCGCTGCGCCAGGTGGCATGGAGGTACACATGTGTCCTGGGCTGGGGGGACACCTCATCCTCCACCCCTCCTCCACCTTCATCCTCCCACATAGAGGTGTCCAGAGATGGGCAGAGCCGGCGAGGTGCCCAGCCGTTGTCATACAAAAAAAAAAAAAAAAACACACACAAAAAAAAAAAAACAAAAAAAAAAAAAAAAAAAAAAAAAAAAAAAAAAAAAAAAAAAAAAAAAAAAAAAAAAAAAAAAAAAAAAAAAAAAAAAAAAAAAAAAAAAAAAAAAAAAAAAAAAAAAAAAAAAAAAAAAAAAAAAAAAAAAAAAAAAAAAAAAAAAAAAAAAAAAAAAAAAAAAAAAAAAAAAAAAAAAAAAAAAAAAAAAAAAAAAAAAAAAAAAAAAAAAAAAAAAAAAAAAAAAAAAAAAAAAAAAAAAAAAAAAAAAAAAAAAAAAAAAAAAAAAAAAAAAAAAAAAAAAAAAAAAAAAAAAAAAAAAAAAAAAAAAAAAAAAAAAAAAAAAAAAAAAAAAAAAAAAAAAAAAAAAAAAAAAAAAAAAAAAAAAAAAAAAAAAAAAAAAAAAAAAAAAAAAAAAAAAAAAAAAAAAAAAAAAAAAAAAAAAAAAAAAAAAAAAAAAAAAAAAAAAAAAAAAAAAAAAAAAAAAAAAAAAAAAAAAAAAAAAAAAAAAAAAAAAAAAAAAAAAAAAAAAAAAAAAAAAAAAAAAAAAAAAAAAAAAAAAAAAAAAAAAAAAAAAAAAAAAAAAAAAAAAAAAAAAAAAAAAAAAAAAAAAAAAAAAAAAAAAAAAAAAAAAAAAAAAAAAAAAAAAAAAAAAAAAAAAAAAAAAAAAAAAAAAAAAAAAAAAAAAAAAAAAAAAAAAAAAAAAAAAAAAAAAAAAAAAAAAAAAAAAAAAAAAAAAAAAAAAAAAAAAAAAAAAAAAAAAAAAAAAAAAAAAAAAAAAAAAAAAAAAAAAAAAAAAAAAAAAAAAAAAAAAAAAAAAAAAAAAAAAAAAAAAAAAAAAAAAAAAAAAAAAAAAAAAAAAAAAAAAAAAAAAAAAAAAAAAAAAAAAAAAAAAAAAAAAAAAAAAAAAAAAAAAAAAAAAAAAAAAAAAAAAAAAAAAAAAAAAAAAAAACAAAAAAAAAAAAAAAAAAAAAAAAAAAAAAAAAAAAAAAAAAAAAAAAAAAAAAAAAAAAAAAAAAAAAATAAAACAAACACAAAAAACACAAACAAAAAAACACAAAAAACAACCTACTGACCCCGGGCCCTTGGGCAGTGCCCGAGTTTCCAAATGGTCAGTCCGCCCCTGCCTCAGACATTTCAGCAAGAGACCTGTCTGGCCCACTTGCCCTCTGGAACATTTACCTCCTCTTCCTGACCAGGCCATTTTTTTTTGCTATACAGTGCTGTGCTACTTTAACCACTTTCCCTATAGAGGATTTACCTCCCTTCCTGACCAGGCCATTTTTGTTTGCTATACAGTGCTGTGCTACTTTAAAGTGGAGCTCCACCCAAAAGGGGAAGTTTCGCTTTAAGGACTGCTCCCCATTAAGGATTGGCACCTTTGGGGGCCAGGTACCTGAACTTGACAGGTACCCGCTCCCACTTCCGGAAACAGAAGGTGCCCTCCCTCCCTCCCTGGAGTCTTTTGGGACACATGACAGATCCCAGAAGACTACAGGACCATTCATGAAGCGCAGAGCTACTTGCGCATGCGCAGTGGGTACCCGGCTATGAAGCCGTAAGGGCTGCTGTGTGAGCAGCACAGTGGCTAAATGGTTAGCACTTACGCCTGGCAGTACTAGGGTCGCTGGTTCGAATCTAAACCATGGCACCACCTGCCTGGAGTTTGCATGTTCTCCCTGTCCCTGCATGGGTTTCCTCCAGGTACTCCGGTTTCCTCCCACACTCCAAAGACATGCTGGTAGGTTAATTGGATCCTGTCTAAATTGTCCCTAGTATGTGTATGTATGATTGTGAGTTAGGGACCTTAGATTGTACGCCCCTTGAGGGTTAGGGACTGATGTGAATGTACAATATATAATATATGTAAAGAGCTGTGTAAATTGACAGCACTATATAAGTACCTGAAAGAAAGAAGAAATTTATCAGAGCCAGGTGCCCACACTGAAGATGCCGGCCTCCTGGAATACAGGATGGCCGGTGAAACGAGCTGTGGGGGACACACCACGGGACCGAGGGACAGGTAAGTGGCTGTTTTTTAAGAGTCAGCAGCTACAGTTTTTGTAGCTGCTGACTTTTATTTTTTGATAGGTTGAGTGGAACTCTGCTTTAACCACTTCAATACCGGGCACTTTTACCCCCTTCCTGCCCAGGCCAATTTTCAGGTTTCAGCACTCTCACACTTTGAATGACAATTGCACAGTCATGCAACACTGTACCCAATCTAAAATTTAATCATTTTGTTCACATAACTAGAGCTTTCTTATTATTATTATTATAATACAATATTTATATAGCGTCAACAGTTTGCTCAGCACTTTACAATATAGCGGGAGACAATCCAGCAACAATACAGTTCAATACAAGAGGGATAGGAGGGCCCTGCTCCTCGGAGCTTACAATCTAAGAGGGAGGGGCTATCATGATCGCGGCGTCAGACCCCAGCCCTTCTCACCAAACTCGTGACTGAAGACTAGCCGATCTAAAACCGCGATGTCACGTGCGTAACAATGCCACACCCAGCTGCACCCTGCACAGCGATTTTCCAGCTAATTGGACCACAATCAATCTACAGGTAGCCTGAGCGATTGTTACTGGGTCAGGTTAATTACGCAATTAACCCTTCACACTGCCACCACCTCTTTTTTGTACAGAGAAAGAGGAAACTCGGCAATATCAGCTAAAACACTATAATGGTTGAGATAATCGTCTGTATAATACGGTCACCGCAGGCCGATTATGCAGAGAGTTAAACATACACATTAGCGTCTCTTTAGAGGCAGGAATTCGTAAATTGCAATACAGAGCTATAGAAACAGTTCAACACTTTCAGAAGGAAAGATTTATTACTAAAAGGTCAAACGGGTGCAATAAAAATATTTACAGAAAAGATGTAACCAAGATATATATATATAAACATACAGAGACCAACAGTACAGCAAAGAGATATCAGAGAGAGGTGAAAGGGTTAACGTACTTGCCAAAGTCCTGGGTTAGCAGATCCAAGTTTCAGAGCAAAAGGGCACGGGTCTCCCCAGGTGGTATTGATGTTAAAATGGGAGACTTCTTCAACTTCCACTCTTAGGCCTGACAGCCTATTTTGTTGTCCCCAGCAGGAGGTGTCTCTGAAGTCAAGAACCAATACCCCGTTTAGGTATGGGTGGATACCTCAACTAGAGCCAAAATCTCACATAACATATTTTGGCCCATAACTTTCCAGCTGCCCAAGTGACATTCTCCCCGCGGGTAGATTATTATGCAGATACGTCTAAGGATTGATTAGATATGAATTATGAAATTATACACTGTACGGTTCACGAGATCTACTTATCCTATGTATCCGAGACAATGCGAGTGACCTATCAAACTGTTCGCCTTCTCGTTGCCAATCTGACGATAGGTCCGGTTTTTAAGTAACTCTCTCATATTCCAAGATACGAGACATAGGGGAGAAATGGATTTTGAAAAGTGTTTATCTGATTCTGTCACCTAGGCTGAGTTAGGTTTATTAGGTTGGAATCTCTTTCAACTCCTGGGAAAGCTTGCCTTATCTCTTACGAGGTGTTCCAATTTGCAGGTTCTTTGGACAGGGAGGCCCTGGCTCCCTTGGGGGGCTTTATAGCTCCTATGACATTCCCAAACTCACACACATACTGGCCAAATGTTGCTGGGCCTCTCTAAGGAGGGAGGGGGGAAGAATGAGGGAGAAATATATTTGTCAGGATGGTTAATCCCTTTGCCAAGATGGAGGTTGAAGCCACAATGGTTGAACCGTGTCCATCTCTGGGTATACGCTGTTACAGGGGCTAGTGGTACAAAAGGTAGTAACTGTGGGGGATGGACTGGTAGGAGGAATAGAAGATTCCGTTATTAGCTGAAGGTGGGACAGGCTTTCCTGAAAGAGATAGGTTTTCAGGGATCGCCTAAAAGTGAGCAGAGTAGGCGGTATTGGTGGTATTTAATCACTGCTGGGTTTTTATTTTTTTGCTAAATTAACAAAAAAAAAACACGCTTCTTTGTTTCTGTTATAAAAGTTTGCAAAGAAATAATTGTTCTTCATAAATTTAGGCCAAGATGTATTCTACTACATTTCTTTGGTGAAAATAACCCGAATTAGTATTTATTATTTAGTTTGTAGGAAAGTTATAGAGTTCACAAACTATGGTATTGATCTGAATATTGATCAATCCTGAAGTACTGACAGCCAATCTAATTTCTTGAGGTCCAAGAATGTCAGAACAGTACAGATATCCCCCAAATGACCCCTTTTTGCAAAGTAGACAGTCCGACGTATTTCATAAGAGGCATGGCGAGTTTTTTGAAGTTGTAATTTTTTTATCATAATTTTTTGGAAAATTAAGAAATTAAAAAAATTATTTTCACAGTTTTTTTCTTAACATACTATCACCAGTGCAGTACAGCGTCATTATATAACTGGTGTGGCGGTGATCAGGGACACTGACTGGTGACAGTACAAAAAAAAAAAGTTTTTATTTTTAACTTTTTTTTTTTTCTCTTTTTTTAAGATTTTTTTTCATATTACATTATGACCAAAGTAGTATAATGTTACCATAGTAACATTGTACTACTTTTGGGAAGTGATCAGTATTTTTTTTTTTAAACAATTTGATTGCTTATAACAAAGAATTTATTTGCTATAAGCAAGCATTTACCTGAATGATATCAATTCATTCAGCCTTTTTTGTTGTGACTAGCTGGGATTGGCCATGGCTAATCACATGACACAGATGGGCTGTGACTGGCCCAGCCTGTGCATGTGATCACTGTGACCATTCACAGCTAGACACACTTGTATACAATGGATGGAATGAAAGGAAGCCATCCATTGTATACAACTGTCATGTGACCTGCTGTGATATGTCACAGCAGGTCACATGGTACTGGCAACAGGGTCGGTACACAGATCTGTCATCGGTCATGTCCGAGGTCAGCTTAGTGGCAGATCTCACCAAAGCCAGA